CTTGTGCGAGATGTTGCTGCCGACCACCTTGACCACCTGGGCAGAGCGGAGAGCGGCTCAGCGGCCCCCACGACCCCGGACGCCGGGGCCCTCCCACCCGCAGGGAGATCGATGTGGAGCCGCGTGGGCTAATTAGCTTTTCTACCAAATTGATTCGCTCTCAGTATTTATCACCCAATGAAATTTAAGACTTACTCACTAGCCAGCGCTGTGGCTGCTCCTGGGCTAGGTCAATAAATCAGATTTACGACCCGCCCCGAGGCCCCCGGCTCCGCTCCCTATAATCACACCGCGTGGCAAAGGCCATTTTTCTACTTGCCACGGCATTTGTTAGCTGAGGATTTTATGGTGTTTAGAAATTGGGCTGGAGGCCACAACCAGAGCACCACAAACTCCCTGCGGATTAGGCGGTGGGGAGCACCAAACCCACGGCTGGACCACGCTGCAGCGGCCGGAGCAGGTGGATGTGAAGGTGTGTGTAAAAGCCCACGTGAAACGCACGTGAAAGCGCCTGTGCAGCTGTGCCCGGCTGCCCGGGGGACCCCAGCTCTGGTTGCCCCATCCTGCAGCACTGGGTTAATGCCCGGGAAAGGCATGAGCAGAGGGCAATGGCTGGAGCATATGGATAGCGAGGTCGTAATGGGGAAGCACCTTTAAAAAAATCTTTGCATTAAAAGAGCAAGGAGTCACTTAAGGAATTAATGGCTGGGAAATTGAGAACGAAGAAAAGAAAACCCCAATTTGCTGGCACTGCGGGCAGCCTGGGAGCCACTGCCCAATGCTCCTCCCGCGGCTCCGTTACGAGCAGCCATAAAATTACCCGGCCCCGTCACAGCACCCGTGGCTTGGACTGTGCGCGGAGCGACAGCGTCTCCTGCTCCGAGGTGCAAAGTGGCCGTCGTGGTGCCGGGCAGGAGGGGCCAGGGGGGCAGCTCACTCTGTGAGCGCCTCGTGCCCTTAAACGGCTCCAAGGAAAAGGGACGGTCGCGCTCGGTGCCGCTGCCCAGCGGCTGCGACGGCCCCCTCCTCGGGCTGCCCCCGGGACGGGACAGGCCCACGGGTTGGGACTCCGGAGCCTCGGCTGCTCCGCGGAACAGTTCAGCCTCTGGGCCTGCATCGCCCTGAGCTGCCGTTGGCTTTCACTCAATTTGCCCTTTCTCAGTTCCTCATGTTTCACCAGAGACATTCATGGCAGTGTCACATCTCTGCTCATTTGTCTTCTCGTTTCTGCAAACATTTTGTAATCTAGCACATTTAAAATACCATAAAAAAAAAAAAAAAAAGAAAACTCATTCTCTGCCTGGAGCTAAGACCAGAGCAAACCCCCCAAACCCCCGGTGTGAGCAGCCTGCTCCGCGCCGTTGCCCGCACGAGGCCGCGGCCAGGCCAGGGCAGAAGCTCATTGTAAGTATTTTGAACAGTGAATATTTCTGTGCAATGGCCGGGGCAGCGCGGGGCCCTGGTGCTGGGTTTCCTGAGCTGGTCCCCTCGCTGTGTGCACGGGGCCGAGTGGCTCCGTGGCCCCAGTGCTCCCAGCAGAGCGGGACGGCTCCTCCTGGTTTCAGCTCTTCCTCAGGAGCCCACGGCCATGGGGCGGGATGCCCCAGGCCCGGAGCAGCTCCCCGTGCAGCCCCGCGTTCCCAGCACCCCTGTGGATGCACCCACCGCCTGCACCCAGAGGAAGGGGAGAAATAACCCAGGGAGCGAGGCAGGGGAAGCGGCGGCCCTGCCCGCGCTCGGCCTCGGCATGGAAACTCACGCTGATTTTCGTCGCGTCTTTGGCAGCCTCCTCATGCTGCGATGCCGGTAGCTGCGGGAGGAGCAAGGAGACCCCGTCAGATGGAGGCTCCGGCGGCCCCGCATTCCTGGCGGGAGCAGGAGTGGGAGAGGGAGCGGGAACAGGACCAGGATCAATCCCCAGCGCTGCTTGCTGGAGGTGGCAGTGCCAGGATGGCTGCCAGGGACAGGGACAAAGGCTCATTAAAATACCTAAAGCTCCTCTCCTCATTCAGCCCTTATCTCTGTGTGCACAGAAGGCCGAGGGACGGCTGTTTGCTGGCAGGACACTGGGAACAGGGTGACCTGGGTGGGATGAGGGGATGGGGACAAGCGGACACATGCGATGCCATGGGGAAGGTGCGAGCACAAGGAAAAGCCTCTAGCCGGGACCTCGCTGGGAGCCGGTGCTGGGCCCAGAGCCTGACGGGAACAGCCTCACTCGGGACAGGGACATCATGGGAATGGCCCCACTGGGATGGGGCTGGTGCAGGAAGGCCCCGCTCGGGATGGGGACACCGCACTCTGTCAGCACATGCGGGGTGGGGACAGCAGGGCCTTACCTGGCTGGAAGCCCACGTCTGTTTGTCCGTCCAGTCCTTGTGGTTGCGGACGTACCACCACTGGATCTCCAGCGAGTAGGAGGGGGCGCCGCTGCCGCGGAAGGAACAGGCCTCCCACCGCGCCCCGGCTCCTCCGTGGGGCCGTGTTTAGACACGGCAGCAACACGTCTTGCACCCCGGCATGAAGAGCTCCATGGGAGAGATGTCACCGTCACCGCCACGCACGGTGGCGACTGCTCCATCACCCCCCGGCACCGGGAACGCTGCTCCACCCACAGCCCCTCCGGCACCAGGAATGCTGCTCCGGCAGCCCTCTGGGAGCGCGGGGCTCCCAGGGCATCTCGCTGAGCCCCGAGCCGGGCGGAGACGAATCCTTATCAGCCCAGAGGGAGCAGTTAATGCCTTCCATATCTCCCTGTCCCTCCAGACACATGGAAATCCCATCTACTTATCGCTTCCCTCTAATCCGTCTCCGCTCAGCGAGCGCTGGCTCCGGGCACACTCCTGCCCGCGGCTCCTCTCCGTGCACGGTGGCATCGCTGCGGCTCCACTGGTCCCCCAGACCGGCCGCGCTCTCTGCAACCTCCCCAACACACGGCTCTCTCCTCGCTGCCCTGGGAACACCGGCCAGAGCCATCTCCCAGGAACTGGCTTTAATTAGGGAGTTTAAGGAGCCGGCATTGCAGCGATAGCCCGTGGTCTCTGGCTCATGTCTAAATTACTCTGCACGCAATTAGAATCAGCTCGTGCACACCAAAATCAGGCAAATGAGCAGGAAGAAAAGGCTTGATTGCATCAAGTACCTCCTTTCTTTCTGATTTTAATTGGGAAGCTCATGTATCTCCTGACCTCAGGGCTCAGCCTTCTCGAAGTGCTCTGAACAGGAGCACGTGGTGCGGGGGAGCCGGACCCACCGGATCCTTGGACGAGCTGGAGCAACCAGCTGCAGCTCCCGCCTGGCTCTGCTCCC